TTCTTTGTTTTCCGACAGAAAAATTTATCACTTTCCATTTTTGGAAGTCCATTACTTTCTGTTTTAGAGGGGCTCTTAAGGGAACTGTCCTCTCAAATTGCTCCCCTCTCATAGCGGTATCTCACGCCAATCCCCTCAGAGGGCGTCAACAGGTTTCCCTTCTTTCTCCTATTGGTATCTCACACCAATCCCCTCAGAGGCGTCAACAGATTTCCTTCTTTCTCATATGTTTACCTTCGCCCATCGCTCACGCCACCATTCAGCCAATGAACGCTCGGCAGTGTGGGTGTGGCTGGTCTGACCTCAGTTTACAATTATCGCTCAAAGAAAAAAATTATCTTCCTTTTTCTTTTCTTTCTTTTCCCTGACTAGAACCCCCACGACACGTAGTGTGGTCATTAAATCTCTATCTTAACTGAATGTCATCTGGAATTCATCAACGAGATTTTCGTCAAGTAATCCTCAGGGTGGTCAAGTGAATCTCTTTGTAACCTCAACTCCTTCGTACTTCTGTCGCCAACAATCCGTCCAGGTAACAAACTTTTATCATGGCAAGGTCTGGACATAAAACATGTGGTCCGTTTCCAGAACCAAACGATATCTCCGAAAGATAGTTAATAGTTTATCTTTTTCCTTTTTCTCTTCTTCCACCCTTTTTCTTTGGGGTGGTCGCAGCTGATCCATTTCTCGCTCGGTGCTCGACCTAAATCTGATTATCTTCTAGCATTTCGCGTTTGTAAGCTACTTGACCAATTTGAAATTTTCATTATTGCCATGGGTAGATTGCTATATTTTATTCGCCGCGTCATAGCATAAATTAATTCCGAGAGATCCGAGATCTTACGAATTTCCTATCTTCTGCGAAAAAATACATTTCTTCGCAAATGAAAATAAAATCTTTACCCCTTTTCTTTTGTTAAAAAAATAACATCGCTCAGTATGTCTTTCGTGATAGCGCCTTAAGTATTTCTCGCTTTTAATTTTCACGCTTAATTAGTTAGCCAAACGCTAAATAGTGTCACATTTGTCATCATACCCAGGACGCGTAAACACGTGGTAAAAAGGATATTACATAGTGATATACAAACGTAAAATAAGCGTATAAAAGATGACTACATTAAACAAATGTTGAAATAATATGTGCAGAGAGAAAAGCTTTTAATGGTTACATACCGGCTATGTTATTGTAGGGGATAGATTTGGGAGGGTAAGAAAAATATTAACCGCTTGGGCCTACGCTTTATTGTGCCGGGTCCGTTGATAACTGAGGGCTAACGGGAAGTGGTCACAAACGGCGACTAATCTAAAAAATGACTAAACTGAAAAAAAGGGGTAAACAAAGGTGAAGTAAAACAATAAAGGTTTGTAATCTGGTAACAGAACATCACCTTACCTCATACTGGTGAGCGAAGATGCGATCACGAAAAAAGCAAACACGTAAACACGAATATAGATGGAACACGTGAACGCCACCAAAACCTAATGCATATCTGCGGGTAGAACATTATCGACTTTCTAGATCTTTTTCTATAAATGCAGTTGTTCCCCAGGTTTATATCCCGGGACCTAGGTTGTTTCTGATTTTCATCAATGACCTTCCTGATATCATCAGTTTTCAACTCGGTATCTATGCTGATAACACAACGATTTACACCCGTCATACTTGCAAGTTTGATCGGTCCGATAAGCGCAGATTAGTTGCTGCTCTAAAAAATGACCTACAATCTATTGTTAAATGGGGCAAGTAGTAACCTGTTGATTATAACACCTCAAATACGAAACTATGTATTAATCATCTGAGAGAACCCTTTTTAGCTTCCATCAGCATGACTGATGCTAACCTTCAGGAGAGTGAGTTATTGTTTTCAGTTACCATGAAGTGGAAATAGCATATTATATCAACTGCTAATTCTATCGCTAAGAAAGCTGGCTCTTTGTATCGTGCTGGACAATTATCTCTCCAGAATCTATCTTATATATTTATAAATCTACCATTCGTCCTTCCATTGTTTTTTGCTATCACGTCTGGTCTGGGGATTTTTTTTTAGAGAATCTTGAGGACAAAATCCAAAGAAGAATCTGCAATGTTATTGGTGTTCATCTCGGCTTTAGTCAATTTCCCAGCGGCGTAACGCACATTTCCTGTGCCTTTTATATAAATACTTTTATGGTAATTGTTCTGCTTAACATTCCACTTTGGTACATAGATTTTATGAATATAAACGCAGTACTAGATTGGCGGAAAGGTCTCTTTTTTACAGCTAAATAGAACCGTAAGTTCTTAGCTAACTGTTTCTATTCTCACACTTCTCTCTTGTAGAATTCTCTCCCGGCTATTTGCCTCCCAGTCAAATTTTATCTTTAAGGATTTAAATGAAATATCAATCTTTATCTTCTGTCTTTTTAATTCTTGTTCTTTTATAATTCTTTTGTCCTTAGCAGTTCTACTCATATTCTTTAAAAATCTGTAACCCCTTGAGCATTAGTGACTTTATTGCCT